CCGCTACGGTACTTACGGTTATGAGGCGTCTATCTTCCAGTATACAATGATCTTCACAAATTTGTAGTAGCACTCCAAACAAATTTATCTGGCGAACTAGAACCGTGTGTTCTATACTCTCTTTAATTTTCTCTAAAACTAAAATGAAGAATAATGCACCAAAAGGGCAAAGTTGGACAACAAAAGGAAATTTTTAGGCTGATTTTCGGATTTGAGAAATGTTGGAACAGCCTAGGTATAAATAAGACTGAACAGGTTTAATTTCCAAATCGAACAAGTGTAAATTCAAATGAATAGGTGCAGTTCAAAAATGGACAGATAACTGCAGTAGTTTCTATTTGTTGGTAACTGCTGGACAGATTTAAATCTGTCTGACAGTTTTATAACTGTTCGGGTTTCAACAGATCCAAAACTATTTAGACTGTTTGATCTGTTTGGAAAATTGGATTGAAAAAAGTAACAAATGGACAGAAAAAAAAAATCAAATTGAATTATTTTTGTTAAGAATTTTTGGAAAAAGTTCAAATAAATTTTCTCTAAAAAATTAATATTAGAACCGACCTGACCCCAACCTACACTTGCGCCTGGCACGGCTGGATGAACGACGGCGGTGGTGCGTGCGTGTGTGGTGGTTTGGGCTAAGGTTCATTTTGTCCGTAACTCTTCCCTTTTACAAACTTGGGGTGCCTCTTGGGGCCCAACCCAAATTGATACACCAAGGGCTTATATATCCACAAAAACTCTCTTAAAGTTTCAATGTAGGACTATTTTTACAAAGAAACCCACATTTAAATCTTTAAATATCCAATTCCACAAACCCGAAAACGACATCAAGTTCCCATTTACTCATAAATGGTTTTGACAAACCATCTTCATTGTGTGACTTGTCACGCAGCAAGGAACACGTCACCTCTTTGGACTTACCCCAAAAGATGTTTGGGGCCCACTCAATTTTGGGCTCAAAGTTGGCCCAAAATAAGCCTTATGAAACCAATCTTTTCCAACAAAAATTTCCACCAAAATCAGCTCGAGCAGTACCCAAAAATCGGCTTGAGTGATTTTCTGCCCAGGAAACTCATAAAAGTTTGGAAAACTCTGTGAGGATCCGCTTGGGCGGTTTTAAATTCCGTACGAGCGGTTTTGCCCAAAAACCCAAAATTGATTTTGCAACGCAAGACAAGTTCTACATCCCAAAACTCAAGATTTTGAACTCGGAAAAGTGAAGAGAGGTTAACTAGAAGTAGAAAAGGAATCTCAACGACCCGATGAACAAAACACTGAAATAAATGCATACTACCCCACTATGCAATACTATTAAAGCTTGAAACTCAGGACATTACAATAGTGGTCCGCAATATCTTTTCCATGATCGATGATACTAGAAGTCCAGTAGCGATGGAAAAAAACCATGGCGGTTCTTTACCGCCACTGTTTACTTCTTGATCTTCTTTGATTCGTCTCCAGAGATGGGTTTTTGGAGCTTGAAATATAGACCATCAATTGATCTCGTGGTCTGAATGTCTTTATTGAGCGGTCCGCCGCCGAGGAAGGAGTCGAAGAAGATGAAGGAGTGAGATTAAGAAAGAATCGAAGTTGGTGGTCATAGTGATAGAAGAGAAGTATGGGTCAACCATTGTTAGGGTTTTTCCAAGAAAGGTCAAAGATTTGAAAAACAAATATATAGTTAGAGAGAGAGGAAGGGAAGTGTCGGATCAGAAAGGTGATAGAGAGTAAGTGGTGGAGTTGCTGCAGTTAATGCAGTAGGTGTAGTAGTAGTGATAGTGGTAGTGGTTATGGGTGTGTTCTCTGGTGGTAATGGTGGTGGGAGTATTTGGTAGGGGTAATAGCTATGCACCAAGACCCTATCAAACCAACTGATAGACAAAGAAAAAAATGAGGAAAAATGAGTGAGTAAGAGAGAGAGAGAGAGAAACTGGGTTGTGAAATCAATGTATAGATAAAAAATTGTGACAAATAAAATAGGCTTGGTGAATTTCAATAGATAAGGAAAATAGGCTTGGTGAATTTCAACAGATAGAAGAAATAAGCTTGGTGAATTTCAACAGACAGATTGAAAATATTAAAAGTAATTTTGATAGATAGATACAATTTGAATAGATAGTTTCAAAAACTAAATAGATACAAAAAAAGAAGAAGAAAGATTTGAATAGATAGATTAAAATAAAAATTTTAACAGATAAGTGGTAATGGACTTTTGACCAACAAATGTCATTTTCACTAAAAATGTTGCTATGTCCTCAATAAAAACACTTTTATCCTTAATGACTTGTAGGGCAGAAAATATGGATTTATCTCCAATTTTCTCATTTTAATATACATTTTAAAAATATCATAAAATATAGAGATATTAGTGTAATTTTCATGAACTTGAGGGGGGCCATCGCATCCCCATCTCCTATGAAGTTGCACTTACTGTCATCAATTTTGAATATACACAATTTTTTTAGTACATTTTTTTAAATAGAAATTACAGCTTTGCTATTTTGCAAATCAGTTGGATGACTTGAAGCCATGAATAAGGGTGGGCATTTGTTAGGGCTGGCCAGTTTTAGCTTGGGCTGTCTAAATCAAGTTCAATTCTAATATTGAGCTTTTTATTTGTCTAAACCTGATTTAAAAAATAATTATAAATTTTAAATCCATTTATCGGGTTATATGTTTAAAAGAAATTTACACATTTCATAATTCAAGTCAATCACATATTATATTTATTAGATAAATACACTGATATCATTATAAATTGAAATATTTTTTAAATAAATTCAATAACACATCACCACAAATGCAAATTTCAATAAAATCAACAAAAAATATATTTTTAATATATTATAAATAAATAAATAATTAATTAATTTAATAGCGGGTCGGGTTGGACTGAGTTAAAATATAAATCTCAAGCCCAATCTATTAATATTGGTTTGAAAATGTTAGCTCAGACCGATCCTACGAGTTAAAATAATATTTCTAAACGTCAAGAAGTGATATGTATTAAATCTGAGAGGGAGATTTGCGCCGGGCTATGGAGCCGAACCAAATCTGCACGGCTTCTCGGACTATCACGTTTGGCCGAGCTATGTCGTTGACCAGAGTGCGAAGACATGTATGTGCCCAACCGGGCTGTGATTCGGGTAAGTGCTCGGTTGGGTCCGCAGTGGTGGGTCTAGACCGAGCCAAACACAGCCCGGAATGAATTTGGACCGGGACGAAGGCCGGCATGCCTCATGGCTAGCCAATTCGGATGGACCGACTTCTTACAGTTCGGTCGTCTTGGTCATGGTGGTGTTTTTTTCCAAGGGATAGGTCGGTCATGATATCCTAGTTGAGTGTGCCACCTGGACCAATGGTGTGATGGAGGGGAAATCCACTTTTGGCACTCGTCAATACCGTTTGGTAGTTCCACACATGCTGTTTGGAGGTTTTTGGCCTTTACATGCGTAAGGTAGTGAGAGGCGAGCACTGCCACCTGTCCAGGGAAGGACAACAGAGGTAGTTCGCGCACAATCCCTGAGGCTACATGGCCAGCCTAGAAAAAGGAGGAATGGAGAACGTTGGACGTAAGTAATCTAAACAATTCTCTCTCTCTCTTTGAAAAGCGCTCTCATCTTCTTCTTCAAGTGGTCTAACTTGATCGTCGGAGGGACTATCCGGCAACACACCGCCGGGCAGCTCACTGTCTTTCTATTTTCAGGCCAGGCGATGTTACGTGGAGCTTGAGTTCAAGGAGTATGGAGAATAGAGGATATTTTACCCCCGTACAATTGGCGCCATCTGTGGAAAAACTTTGATACACAAACCTTGCTCTTCAAGCTTTTTCGACTGTTTCCATGTCTAACAACGATGAAACTCCACTATCCATTGTCGATGGTGTCATACCAGAGTCTGTTCGACGCAGAGAAGGCCCCCCTGCTATTCCAGCCATGGCGAGCCTGGAGACCTCTTCGAGAGGTGCACGAGACAAACGCGCAAGGAGTACTGATCGCTCGAAGAGCCCAGAGGGCCGTCAACGGCGGGGGGAGTCACATGCACAGCGCCTGGAGCACAAACTTAAAGACCAGGACGCCCTCATTCGCAAGATGGCGGCTGAAATAGAGGTGTTGAAACTCTAGATCAAGGGGAAGGGTGTTGCTACAGAGGCCACCCTCAGTGAGCGCACCCCGTCTCCTCGTTCTGGCGGCCGCTGCCAAAAAAGGATGCACTCTCTCTCTATCACCAGAAGCTATGAGGTCGGGGACTTCGACCTACAGGTGGGAAAATCTCACACTCGCGACAGCACCTACTGTCCCTCACGCCAATCGTCGACGTCGTGATACTCTTTTTCCACCCGTTCGGGAGACCTGAGGGATGTGTTGGAGGAGAGGGCTCGCCGTAGGAAGACTCAAAGATTGCTGGCATTGCAGAGGCTAAGCTCCCAAACCCGTTGTAGTGAGGAAGTGGCAATGCCCACACCCAGAGTGGTGGCCCCAGCGCTTGTGGACAAAGAGCTAGCGAGACTTACAGCTACGCCGCTGTCTCCAGAGATCGAGAGCACACCACTTCCTACCGGATTCCACTAGCCTAAGTTCACGTTGTACGACGATAAGATGGATCCGTACATGCACGTGAGTCATTACCGACAAGTAATGGCTGGACACCGGCGCAATGACGCCTTGATGTGCCTCATATTCCCAGCAGGCTTAGGAGAACTGGGCCTGAAATGGTTCAAACGGCTTTCGGAGGGGAGTATTGAGGGATGGCAGCAACTAGTGGAGGCCTTCGTCACCAAATTCAAAACCAACACTCGAACGCCAAAGGAGGTCGACCATCTCCTGGGCGTCAAGATAGAGTTTGGAGGTTCATTGAAGGCATACAATGCGAAGTACTGGGAAACTTACAATGAGATCCTCGATTGTCCCACCAATCTGGCGATTAATCAATAAAAGCGTGGTCTCCCAGTCGGACATAGGCTGCAAGATTCGCTTACAATGCACCAGCTCGCAACCATGGAGTCCTTAATACAACGGATCAACGAACACATCCGTGTGGAGGACGATGCCGCCTCCGCAACTGAGAAAGCTAATCCGATCGCGGCGGACAGAAGAATGGCGGGGAAGGTCCACTCGGTGGGGCAGGAGGACAACTGCTGAAACGACCGATTAAAAGATCAACGTCGTGGCTCAAACCGCAATGATAGAAACAAAGGTCGCAGAAACGACCGAGCTAACGCTCCCCGTGATGAAGAGGAAGATGCCAAGAGAAAATTGAAAACACAAACCGGTATCACCACGGTCTTTAAAATCCCCATTTACCGCATCCTGAGTGAAATCCGAGGTGAACCTTTCGTTCGTTGGCTGGCCAAGTTGGGGAGTACACAGAAAGGCTTTAACTCAAGATATCGCTGTACCTTCCATGAGGAACGGGGGCACCGAACAGAGGATTGCTTGTTGCTCAAACAACATTTGGAGGAGCTGGCGGCGGTGGGACATCTGGACCAATACATAGATGGGGGCATGAAAGCCGCTCCACTGGAACAGACCAAACCAAACGGCCTAGCCGTCCTGGACGCAGCGCCACAAGGTGTAATCAATGTCATCCATGGCATCATTGAATCGGCAAGGGTCTGCGAGCTGCGAGGGATGATTAAGAAAGCCGAGCACATGAGGGAGGTGCTCTCCGTTCAGCCCGCTGTGAAGAAAGGGAAGACTGAAGAGAAGGATATCCTTGCCTTTTCAAGTAAGGACATGGAGAGAATTCAAATGCCCCACAACGACGCCTTGGTAGTGACTCTTCGCGTCAAAGACTTCGACATCAAGAGGATTTTGATTGACCAGGGGAGTTCAGTCGAAATCATGTATTATGATGTGTTCAAACAAATGAAGTTGGAGGACAAGGACTTGGCCCCTGCTACATCTCCATTGGTTGGCTTTAACTCTCAACCAGAATGGCCGATCGGAAAGATCATACTGTCGGTCAGAGCGGGATCAGTCACGAAGCAAGTGGAGTTTTGGGTGCTTAAAGTCCCATTGACCTACAACTTAATTTTGGGCAGGGGCTGGTTGCACGCCATGCAAGCAGTAGTGTTGACCTACCATCAGGTTCTGCGCTTCTCGGCACCAACCGGGCAGGTAGAAGAGGTTTGGGGAGACTAGGTAATGGAAAAACAGTGCTTCGTTACGGTGAACAGTAGCCGAGCCGCCAAAGGTTTCATTCAAATGATAGAGGGCCCGGAGGGAAAGGAAGTCCTAGAAGACGTAGGAAGAAAGGCCGAGGAGAAATCGGTTGAAGATTTGGTGGAGGTACGCATCGACGAGAATGATCCAACTAAGTTCTTTCTTTTGGGATCATCCATGTCCAGCACCGAGTGACTAGAATATGTCGACTTCTCGGTTTCCAACATAGAAGCTTTTGCATGGACGCCTTACGATATGCCTGGCGTCGACCCTAGCTTCATTTGTCATCAGTTGAATGTCTTCCTGAATGCAAGACCGGTCATCCAGAGGACACGACACTCGCCTTGCACCATGCCGAGATAGTGGCGGAGGAGGTCAAGAACCTGCTAGAAGCAAATGTGATAGAAGAAGTACAGTAGCCAAGGTGGATCTCTAACACGGTAGTAGTGCCGAAGAAAAATGATAAATGGCGGGTGTGCTTTGATTATAAGACGATCAACCGTGCGTGCCCAAAGGATAGCTTTCCCCTCTCGATAATCGACCAGCTGGTAGATTTAACCGCTGGCCATCAGAGGTTTATCTTCTTGGATGCGTATCGTGGCTACCACCAGATAGCCATGTATGAACCAGACCGAGAGATCACTTCATTCACCACTCTAAGAGGCCTGTACTATTACAAAGTCATGCCGTTCGGACGAAAAAATACCGGGGCAATTTTTCAGAGGATGGTAACTGTAGACACCCTATTTTTGACCATCCTAAAGACTTGGACGTCATCGTTTGAACACTCAATGATCATCCATGTTAGTGTTCGTTTTGAGTTCTCGGAGGTCTTGGCTACGCGCCTTGCCTCAAGATCTCTCAACTTGTCTGTTTTGTACTTGGTTGTGGACCAAGCACTTGTGTTTGCTTTTGAGGGAAGAGGGTGGCTTGTTTGCCATCCCCTCAACCCATCGGCCAAGGCTTGAAGCCATCGGCCTTGTGTTCTTGCCATCGGCCAAAAGTATTGGCCGATAGGCACTCTTTTTAGTCGATCGGCACTTATGTTGGTCGATCGGCCATTTTTGGTGGCCGAACCCTGTTCATCTGCTTTATGCAGATATTTTATGCCAGCTGGCACATCTAGCATCCAAAATTCACCCCATCCACACACATGTATGGAGGGATTTTCCCTTTGCTTAGCTTCTCTTAGAAGCTTTAGAAATTGAACTTCTATAAAGAGGGAGCCCCTCCTCCCTCCTCAAGGGTTCAGAAAAATCACCTTGGAAGGATAGAGATAGCCTTGTATCTATTTTGCCTTGTTTCTCCATTTTTGTGCTTCAAAAGTGTAGTATTGTCTTAGTTTAACACACAAACACCTAGCAATACACCTTCTCTTTGTTGCTGAGGTACTAGAGAGTTGGTTTTGGTGTTCTTGGGTGGGTTTGAACTCAGAAAAGCTGCTAGAGCTTTATTCTTGAAGAGGTTCTACAAGGGTGAGTTCCTTGTTTTAGATACCCCATTCTTGCTTAAGCTTTTAGCCCTTTTTTCTTATTGTTTTAAGCTTAGATTATAGCTGATAAAAGTTCTGTTTTTTAGTGCTTAAGACCTTTGTTTAAGGTCATTTTTGTGTTTGGGGTTGTTTACCCCTCTTAGGCCATGTTCGGCCTTGTTCTTGTGCTTTATTTTTAAGTTTTGAGATCACCTTGTTTTGGCCTTCTCACCACTGAAATCCAGAGGGATTTCAATGGTGGGGATGGTGTTTTAAGGTCTCAAATAGGAGAGGGTCATCCCCTTTCCTTGTTGTCTTGAATGCTTGCATAAATGGCTTATATGGGTAGCTTGTATGCCTAGCTTGTTTTAGCTTTATTTCAGTGTGTATTAGGCTTTGTTTTTCCATAATATACCTCTGTTTCAAGTTGGTTTGATGGCCTCCCATATGCTTCATGTACTTGCCATGCAATCCTTTATTTGCCTTAACATGCATCATGCTTTGACATGTCTTTCTTGCAAGATTTTGGCTCAACTCCATGAAGCTTTTAGCTTTGTTGTAACATGCTTAAGCTCTGATTTTGGTCTCTTTGGCCATGTATGCGATGCTTTGTATAGCCACCATGCATTTTAGCTTGTTAGCTTTGAGCGTCCAAGTCTCTAGCATGCTTTACTTGGGCCATTTTAGTGATTTTGCATCACTTGTTATGTTATTTCAGTCCATATAGTATGCTCATATACTTGCATTTGTCACTCCTTTAATGTTTTAAAGAGTTGATGTTTTATGTTTCTTGAATGGGTCATTGTGTATGCCACCATGCTTAGGTCATTGGGATGCCATCTAAGTGAGTTTTTGGGCTTGTTTTACCATGCCATAACTCTGATTTTGGCTGTTTAAATCATACCATGTTTGGTTTTGATAGGTGTAGTGTAACACCCCTTTTGTAGCCTTGCATACCTCATGCTTTTGACCCTTTATTCTAGCTTACTTTGGCTTTGGTCCTTGCATGTTTTAGGCTCATTTGGACCTGCCTTAGGACTGTTTTAGGTCCTCTTGGCCCTTTGGGGCTTGCTTTGTATAGCCATGGTTTGAACCCTTTGGCTAGCTTCAAGCTTTAAGCTTTCTTGCATGCTTTGCTTGTGTATTTTGGTTGGTTTGGCATCTTCCCTTGCATGATTTTAGAGTTCAACATGTTTGTCACATGTCCATATTTGTCTCTTTTAAGTGTGCTTAAGAGTTGCCCTTTTATGCCTTAGTCTTTAGGCTAATTAGCATGCATGTTTATATGTGTATTTCATGTCTTTGTTGTATTACTTTGGCCACTGATTAGGGCCTATTTGAGAGCTATCCATTTTGGTTTAAGTCTATCCTTTGCATGTTGTTGCATGCTTGCCTTGCATGTTGTCGCATGCTTGTTGCATATTTAGTACCTTGCATGTTGTTGCATGCTAGTATGTTGCATGCTTATCCCTTTATCATGTTGTCACATGTTTGCCTCACATGTTGTTGCATGTTTGTCATTGGCATTGTTGTTACATGCCTTGCATGTTTACTTGTTTAGGTTGTATGCCTATTGCACATTGCTTGCTTGCATGCTCATGTTGGATTAGCTTGCTTACATGCCTAGGTTGCATAGCATTAAGCATGCATCCTTTGCCTCTTGATCAAGTATGATAGCGGTTGGGGCCCCTTATGTGTTTTGGTGTGCATTTCATTTGATAATAATTTCACATTTAGCTCCTTTGGCCATCATGCATCGAAATACGTGATTGGTGGTCCGAGGGTCGAGGACTATACTCCCTTGAGTTCATAACATAATAGAGAGGGTGGTCGTGCAAACATTGTCTTGCAAATGTATTGCCATGCTCTGTTTGTCCTCTGCTGCAGCAACACAGCATTCTGCAGGAATAGATGGTCGATCGACCATGTTCAGTGCCGATCGGCTAACAACATTTAGCCGAGAGCCTTATATTTGGTCGATGACCAACTTCCCATGGCCGATGGCCTCATCTCTTGGTCGATGACCTCCCACAGTGTACACAAGATGGTTCAAAAGTGTCACAGAAGTTGGAACAATTTTTAGAGGTACAGAGCAGTACAAACAAAGGCAACATGAAGCATGGCGATGGATTTCCGAGCGAAGCCGTCCGAGCATGCATTCATCCCTCGTCTCGAGGCCATTTCAGTGTTTTAATAACTTAGAATAGTCATTTATTTCGATTTGGTTGTGTAATTAATTAATTAGCTCGTTAGTTAGTTAATCAGATTGATTTGTAGTATTCTTTCGGTCCCTCCGTCGAGAGAGCCAATTGTTGTAATAAGCGTGCGTGTGTGTGATGCATGTCTTCCAACCCCCATTTCTTTCTTCCTTTTACTTAACCGCTTACGATGGTTAGTTCTAGGGCTCGTTTCATTTAGCATCCTTATGCTTGCATGTTTGCATCCATCCATTTGTATTGCATGCACCGGGCTCGGCACATCATACTAACTGCATTGTATTTCAATTCCAATTTGAATACATGTATCAAGTATTGCATCTCACATGCCATTTTAGAATAGCCGAGCCTATTTCTAGTTGCATTTTGCCTGTGTTGCATTAGCCATCTTAACATAGATTAGGATCATGCATTGATTGCTAACTAGTTCTTTATTTTGGCTCAGAGTACACTGTAAGTGTTTACGTTTTAGCATCTTGCATGTGTGTGAGTTTTGCCATGACAACATGCTTTCCATGAGGCTAATTGCTTATGTGATATAACTGCCTGAATGCCTGTGGGTGAAGGTTGGATTACTTGAATTGGAATAATTCATTGAAATCCGTGTTTTGGCCTACTTGCGAGTAGCAAATTTCAAACCATTTCCAAATAAACGGATATGAGATGTTTTGTTCCAAATTAGGCGATCTAGTCTATACTTGTGTATTGTGCGCATCACATAGTAATTCTAGCTAATTAACTGGAATAAGAACACATGTGTTTCCAAAAACGAGATATCATGTTTAGTACAGGCTGATCTTCAGATCGAGCGAGCGGGGGTGCTCATAGATGACCTTCCCCAATCGTACCCAAGTTCCTGAGCCGAGGCAACTTTGGTGATGACGGACACGTGGTCTTAGGCACGAGTTAGGATTTCCTAAATTCTCCCAAATATAAAACATTTAGGTGGCGACTCTGTATCTGGCAAAGCAGTCCATGTTTGGCACTTCTTTCTTAAAAATCAGTTTTCCAAAACGATTTGTCGGATTTGGACTCTTTGGTGATTTATCAGTCTTGCATTACACTTTGCGAGATCAGATTAAGAACCAGGACATTTGAGTCTGAACTGTAGTAGCAAAGCCTAAGGGCGCGTCTACAGTTTCTGGCGACTCTGCTGGGGAGGTTAGAGAACTTGACTCGAACTCATGATATCGTGTTTTGTTCACACTTATGTGTTTCTTTGCATTGCATGTGCATTGGTGCCCCTAAGACACCGTGTTTGCCGTATGTTATTCCTGAACGGTTTGTTGGAG